GGGGGGGGGGGGTCGGGTGCCCAAGTGGCTTAGGAGCCGCCGTCTCGTCATCCTACATCACTGGGCAGGGAGCTTTTTCCAAGTCACAAGTGGCCAAACCTCCTCCTCCTCAGCCTTTCGTTGGAGTTCGGCCTTTACGTGCCATCAGAAACCTCCCCTTGGTAGCCGACGGGCTACCGAGGGCCCCTCTAGACGTCCAGGTCACAGCGTGGTAGGATCTGACACCTGGACTGTGGCTGGCGGGAGGCGCGATGGTGGGATCCAGCATCTGACCCTCTCATGCCTTGTTGCTGAGGGGAGCCGGAGACCGGCACGTGAGGAGCAAGCTCCTGCGGCTGCGAGTCCGGCCGTGGATGGGATTCCCAGCGGGGCAGCACCTGGTGCACCCCCGCGACTGGGAGGTTAGAAACCAGCTATAAAGTTGTTATATGTGTCCCAGCTCTAACTTTGTATCTGTAGTTAATTAGCCAGGTTGTAGCCATGCGCACTTAACCAGGCAGTTGCGTGATGCATGTAACATGGGTCATAGGGAGCAGGGGCTTTAGGACCCCCTGGTAGCAAGGGCACACGGAGACCAAACCTCCAAGGTGGGACGTGTCTCGTGGTGTTCGCAGGAAGCACCTGGAAACTCTCCGGGCAGGGGCTGTTCCCAGGCTGGGGCTGGGCCGGAGGCAGGGGTCTTCTTCCCCCAAGGACCCCATCCTCCGTGGAGGAGGCAGGAGCCTGGGCAGTGGCGCACTGCTCCTTTATGTGCTCCTCTGCTGGCAGAGCCAACCCAGAGACGGGGGGAAGGCAGTGTGTCCATATGCATGTGTGTGTGTACACATGTGCATTCGCACGGAAGTGTGTGCGCGCACACTTGCGTACGTGTATGTGTGTGCTCATGGACATGCTCACATGGGTGCATGTATGTGTGCATATGTATGTGCATGTGCAGGTATGGATGCATTCATAGGTTCATGTGTATGTGTGCACGTGTGTGTGTTCATACATAGGTGTGCTTGTGTAAGTATGTGTGTACATGTGCCTGCATGTTTGTGTGCATGTGTATGTAAATGTGTGCATGCATGTAGGTGTGCCTGCGTATATGGGTGTACACATGTTCGCGTGTGTGTGTGTGCATGCACACCCATGCATAGATGAAGCTCTGTCTCTGTCTGAGGCTGCGCTCTGGCTTTCTTCACTTAGCTGCGGCTGAGCTGGGCGCCGTTGCCCGGTCTCTCTCCCGACCGGGCCCCTGTGGGCAGCGCGAGGAGTCCGGCCTTGCTCTATTTTCTGCGAGCACCAGGTTCACCGTCCTAGCGGCTGGTCCGGTGGGGACCGGTCCCACTTCAGGGGTGGCCTGGCAGTATCGGCAGCGCCCTGGCGGGAGCGTCGGCAGCCCTCATCTCAGAGGCACGGGGTGGTTTGGACAGCTGGGACCTGGGTGCTGGGGGTGGATGTGATGCCCTGGGCTTGCAGCCTGGCCTCGGACAGAAACCTGGGGCCGCTGAGTCAGCGCGGTCGTCCGGCAGCTGTGCAGCATCCGGTGCCTGGAAGCCGGGCTATTTATTCCCCGGCCCTGGCATGACGAAGCGTGCCGTCACCCTGCTGCCGGGCACTAGGCCCAGCCCGAGGAAGTGGAGCAGGGAGGAAGCCAAGGGCTGGTTTCAGTCTTGCCCTGGGGTGAGGATGGAGCAGGGGGCAGGTGGGCGGGAAGCACGGGGACGGGAGGGGCAGGATTTGCTGACCGGGCCCCACATCCAGTCCTGGCCCCTTACGTGCCACAGCCCTCCCTGCCTGACCCTGGGCCTATCACTTAGCCTCACCCCCGAGACGAGCACCCTCCTGCCTTCCCCCAGGCCAGCCAGGCCCTGGGTCCGTTCCCATCACTGCAAAGCAGACGGTTGCTTGAGCAGGGGTCGCCCCTTCCCACCTGCAAAGGGGGAGGGGAAGTTGCCAGGTCTGGGAAAGGGCTCTCGGTGGGTCGGGCTGAGCTGCGGGGCATTGCAGGGAGCTGAAATGCTCCAAGTGCCAGGGCCTCTACCCCTTCCCAGGCATCCTCCTGAGGCCCCGTGTGATGCTCCCTGTATTAGAGCCATATGGTCCCCTAGTGGCACCTACTGAGAGGGTAACAACCTACTGCTGCTGCCAGCGCCCTGCCCAGGCTGACGGAGCCCTGGGTGCGGGGCGGATGATGTGGCCGCGGGCAGGGATGGGAAGGTCACCCCCGGGGTCCCCTGGGCATGGCATCCCCTTGTTCCCTCCCTGCCCTGGGGCAGCTCAGAGCCAGGCCCTGTGGCTTCCTTGCTGACCCGGCTCCTCTTCCCCACAGGTGCCGGCGCCCGCCCGAGGGGACGTGGCGGTGACGGCAGGGGGACGGGAGCTCATCCTGGCACTGGAAAAGAACCAGTAAGTGTCTCCGTTGCCGCGCGAGGGGGGTCCTGCCCCGCTGGAGCTTGCTGTCTGGGCCCGAAGGGTCTGAGCGCACCGGGCGGAAACGGCTCCCCAAGGCTGGACGCGCGAACCTCCGAGACCGAGGGTCCATGCCCCTCCCCTGCCTGGCATCTCCTCGCTCCGGGCACAAAGCCACCGCCGAAAGCCGATCCCCTTGGACTCTGGCGCTCGGCGGGGGAGAGTCTGCCAGACTGTTTAGGCTGCGGCTGCCTGCCCGGAGCCTGCCAGGAGTGCGGCTGGGGGCTCGGAGCGGGCGTCTGTGCTGCCCGGTGCCACGTGTGGTTTTGCACACGGGTCACGCCCTGGCAGTTCGAACCCGCGAGGCCAGAGAGAGGATGTTCAGCTTCCGGTCTGAGGGCAGCCAGCGAGACCCAGCGGGAAGGGCTGCCCTGGGCAGAGCGCACGTGAACGGGGGTCTGTGAGAAAGTGGGGGGGTCTTGGTCAGTGCCCCCCCGTCCCACCCTGCTGTGCGGAGCCTGGCTGGGCTGCGTTGCCCGTGTGGCTTTGCAGTGGTACGTGGAGCAGGTCACCGCGGCACGCTGTGGTGTAAAGCTCCAGTGGTGATTGTAGCCGGCGCAGCTAGAGACTGGTTGCATTTCTCCCCCCTAAAAGCTGAAGCAGAGGAAGGGGCTCATGCCTTCTGGGGAAGGCCGCTCTTGCTGTCCTGTCTCATGGGCTGCGATGCGCGGGGGACCCAGCCAGAGATGCATCTGCACAGAGGACCTGGCTGCCCCCGGCTCCTGCAGTGCAGGAGGTCACGTCTAGTCCAACCCCCTGCTCCAAGCAGGACCAGCCCCAGCTACATCATCCCAGCCAAGGCTTAAAAACCTACAAGGATGGAGAGTCCACCACCTCTGTAGGTAACCTGTTCCAGTGTTTTAGCAGCCTCCTCGTGAGAGAGTTTTTCCTAATATCCAACCTCAACTTCCCTTGCTGCAGCTTGAGCCCATTGCTCCTTCTGTCATCTGCCCCCACTGAGACCAGTCCAGCTCCATCCTCTTTGCAGCCTCCCCGCAGGGAGGTGAAGGCTGCTAGTCAATCCCCCTCGGTCTTCTCTTCTGCAGACTCAATCAGCCCATTTTCTGCAGCCTCTCCTCATGAGTCACATCCCCCAGCTCCTCAACCATTTTCATTGCCCTCCGCTGGACAGTCTCCAATGTGTCCACATCCTTTCTGCAGTGGAGGCCCCACAGCTGGACACAGGACTCCAGATGTGGCCTCCCCGGTGCCGAATAGAGGGGAAGAATCGCTGCCCTTCATCTGCGGGCAACGCCCCTACCCATGCAGCCCTGGATATCGGTAGCCTTCTTGGTATCTTTTGGCTCATCATCACCCAACGGAGCGATGCCCTGTGCCTCCCCTGGGCGCCTGGCTCTGATTCCCCTTCACAGGCCCTGGGCAGGGCAGCGGGATGATCACACTTTTCCCAGGACAGGATCGTGCTGCGACTGGCCCTGCCCAGCTCTGTTGCCCTGCAGGGGAAGCGGCCGGCCCGTGAGCTTCCTGCCAGCCAGCGCCTAAGATAGGAGATAATCACTCTTTCCACGGCCCGCCCAGGCCTCCACCCCGCTCCCACCCTCCATCCACCCTGCACTCAACAGCCAGTTTTGCATAACCCAGCCTGGTCCCACCATCCCACCACCCTCCCGCTGTCCACAACGGGGCTGGCTGGTCCTCCTTTACAAAGCACCCTCCAAACACCCTGGATGTTGCACTAGTCGGAGGCTCTTGCTTCTCTCGCACGTCCCAAATGTTCAGGGCTGGATGCCTTCTCTGTGACTCTTTTTGGAAACCCTGCCGCGGGGGTCCGGTCTTTGCCAGACACGGGCTGTGTTAGACCCCTGCTCCTCACCTCCCCGGGTGAGCCTGGTCCCCACGGCAGGTCTGTCCTGCTGGGATCCAGATGCTGGGCTGGCACTGGTGAGAGCCCAAAGGTTGTGCAGACTTGTTAGCCGTGGGCCGGGAGGGCGAGGGCAAGGTGCTAAGAGGCATTAGCCTGTGCCCCTGCACCTTCCCGGCTGGGCTCTTTCCAGGGCCGGGGTGGGTTTGTTCATGTTGCTCAGCTCCTGGCTCCAAAGCGTCCTCGGACCATGTTATTTCTCCACCCGCGTCCGTGCAGACGAGCAGGGGGGAAGCGAGGGAGGGGGAGGCTCCAGCTCTCCGACTCCTGCTGCCAGCGTGCCTGCTGCAGCCCTCATTTGGCTTGGAGCCCGGCCCAGGCAGGAAGCTCTGGGGAAGGTAGACTTGGTTTTGGAAACCAAAGCAAATGGGGAGACGCGCGCTCCAAAGTAACCAGGGCGAGGGAGGAGCGGTCAGGCATCTCCTCCAGCGCCGGGCCGGAGGCTCTTGGCACGGCCGCAGCCTCCTGGGTGGGCATTGTCCCTGGCTGAGTGACCCCAGTGAGCCGTGGCGGTCAGCATTTGTCTTGCTGCTGCCCATCACCCTGGCATCTGAGCTCCTTCCGTGGCAGCAAGGTCCGCCGTGGGTCCACCTTTCCCCCTTGCCACTGATGACACCGGGCCCACGCAGATTCGTACCAGCTGCAGGTGGCTGGTGATGGGCTCCGAGGCCTTTCCTCCAGCTGGTTTCTGCTGATTCCAGGGGAGTTCTTCCTGATCTACACCAGTCCTGGCGGTGGGGGGAGGCGGGTCCCCCGCCTCTGGCGCATCCTGTGTCCGGGTTCTCTCTCCCCACATCTGGGAGCAGCTGCAGCTCCACATCTGGGAGCCTGAGCTGGCTGTGGGCTGGCACGGTCCTGGAGCCTGCCCCCGGCTCCTCTCCTGCTCCGTCCACCCCCTCGGGCCCCTTCAGCTTGGGCACTGAAGGTCCTGGGTTGCAAGACGAGCTGGGCTGGGGCTTGGGGATGGGCTCGAGTCTGCACCCCCACAAGCTCGGACTTAACCTGGGACAGCGGCAGGCAGCTCAGTCCCCTCAAACAGCCGGTCTGCAAGTGTGCTGGTGGGTCTCATCCCAGATACGCTGCGTGGCCTCTCTCCAGCCAGTCTCAGCTGGGAGCCCACAGCGGGTGGTGGTGCTGCTTGTTCCTCAGGGATTTATTGTTTCCCAAGCGCCAGGTTCGCTCTTCACACGCTGCGCTGGGCTGAGCGGTGTTTTCAACTGAGCGGCGCGGAAGCTGGCAGGGCCTTGGCTGAGCCGTGAGGTTTTGCACCTGTATGGAGGTGTTTCCTGGCTTCCTGGAAGTGGGTGCTGGAGGAGGGAGGTGTGCTGCATGTGCATCTGTATGCCTATGTAACTGCATGGTATTTTTTTTGTAGGCTTAAAACACAGAAACCACACCTAGAGCGGCCACACTCCCTCTTGTTGTGGAGCAGGGGTGCATTCAGCTTCGGGGGGCACCAGAAACCAAGGGGCAGAGCCAGAGGGGCTCATCGCGTGGTGCAAATGGTTTGTCCAGAGACAGCGGTGTCTAGGGAAGACTTTGACTTTCATCCAGGCTTAATTTTATGGGCTGCGACCCCTGTTTGGGGTCTCTGCTTCCAGCTTTTATAGCTGTCCTGCTCCTCCTCCTTTATCGCCCGGCTGTCAGCGTTTGGAGCCAGGCTTGCTGGCGGCCAGCCGGCAGCTGTGGGAAAGAAGCGCAGGCTGGAAGCGGGGGAGGCAGGGTGGGCTGCGCTGAAAAACGCTGAGCTGGGAAGAGCTCGATGAGTCACGACTCCAGCTCAGAGCGGACGCCAGAGGCAGAGCATGAGCGTGCAAGGAGGCAGGCGTGCAAAGGAGTGCACCTATGTGCATGTGCACGTGCAAAAGGGGTGAGCATGGTCAGGAGCAGCGAAGGCCAAGCATGAGACTGTGCGTGTCTACATGCGTGAAGGCCAAAGTGTGCGTCTCCTCTCCTCTGATCAAGGTGGTAGCAGCTTGCGACTGCTGTCTGCTCCAGACCAAGCGCAGCCCTTCTGTGTAACACATGCAGCAGGTTGGTCCCACAGCATGGGACGGAGAGCTGTGAGCCCAGGCGAGAGGGTTGTGCCGCGGGATGATGCACGCATAGCTGTTCGCTACACAGGTATGCATACGTGGGCTCACTGGTAGGTATGCCCGTATGCACACGGGTACATGTACAGCTCTGGATGAAATGCTACCTGTGGGTAAGCTCTGGAGACCCCCATTGGCAGCTTTGGATTGGACCCTGTAAGAGGGAGGATGACCTGTATGGGGACTCCTGACCCCTTTAATGAGTCGTTCCCATGACCTGAATGTCCTTGGGTAAGAGGAAAGGAGCAGGTTTATAAGCAGCCAAAAAGTCTTTCCAACCTGCCCATGTTATTTACTGTTTCCCTGCAATGCTGCTCTTTGCAAAACCACAAGGAGAACTGACACGAAACCTCTTTGTGTCTTGGGCGGAGATTTTCCATTCTGGTTCAAAATGCTGCTTTCTGCTGCCAGCGGTCGGCCGGAGGCGATGCAGGTAACCGTCCTGCCCCACGCCCTGCCGTGCCCACGCGCTGCTTGGTGGTGGTGTCGTTGCAGGCAGGAAAGGTCTTGGCGAAATGCAGCAGGGCGGTAGATGCTGGGGGCGGGGAGGTGGGTGGGTGAAATCTCATTTGTACCACGTCAGGCTCGGCCTCTGCCCCTGTGATGGGAGTCCAGAGGTTGCATCTGCCGGGTTGCATCCAGAGGTTGGTCTGGAGCGACGCGAAATGAGCCATCTTTTCTGTCCCCTTCAGGGCCAGGGGGTGGGATGGGGATGGACTGGACTGAGCTTTCAAAAGCCACTTTGACATGAGATGTAAATGAAAGGAAGCGTGGCGCCAGGTGGTACCTGGTGAGGTGGGGAAGAGCATTAGCAACCTCTGACAGCTCCTGGTTATTCCACTGCTGTTTATCACCGCTGCCGTGTCCCTCCCGTGCGGGATTAGTCAGGCTGGGCCTGTCACCACCTTGGCGTAGGGCAGCGACTTAGACCTAAGAACCTGGTAGGGAAACTAAAAATTGGC